AGATAGAAGAGTTTGTTGAATCTGACGTGACATGTTCGTACGAACCCTTTGTACGAACAAAAGTAAGAGAAATTTAGGATAAGAATACGAACTTGTTCTTGCATGAGGCCCATTAGAAAATCCCCAAAGGGTATAAATACAAGAAAAAGAGGATCTGGCCCAAAACTGAGTCACAAGACAGTGGTGCAGCATCAGAGTAAACCAGTAAAAGACCTTTCAGGTAAATAAGAAGTGAACCAGTTTAACAGAGAACCAGAAATACCAAACAAATCTCTCAGTCTGTTGATAAGAACAGAGTGATCCACAGTGTCAAAGGCTGAAGTTAAGTCCAATAAAACCAGCACAGTGTAGTTTCCAGAGTCAGCTGCCATCAGCGAGTCACTTTAAACTTTTAATAAAGCTGTTTCAGAGGAGTGCAGTTTGTGAAAACATGACTGAAAAGTGTCCATAATGACCCCCCCCCCCAAAAAAAAAAAAAAACAAAAAAAAAAAAAAAACAGTAGTTGTTCTGCTGCAGCCTTCGTTAAGGTTATGGACAAAAATAGTTCTCAGAACAATAATCTGTGATTACATAAACCAGATCTAAAATAATCTAAGATCTTTTTCAGTTTAGATGGGATGAAGGCATCACAGACTCTGATCAAACCTTAAAAATACTGAGATCTGTTGGTGCTGGAAGTCTGTGCTGATGATGACTCACAGCTACTACCACCCCAAACTGACCTCCATGTCAGCTAAGTTCGATTGGCTACGTCAGCTACCTTGAATGGTTTGACTCTTACCAGTTAATTAATCAGTCAGTACTTTCTGAAAGTGACTGTCCAGTGGTTCATGAGATGTGTTGCAAACACAGACAACAGATAATTAGCTGAAGTTTGTTGTAAAAGTTGATTATAATAAACATTATGTACATTTAGCAGTGGGTGCTCATTTAATCTAGTGAATCCAGCTTCACATGTCTAACTGCTGGATTATAATCCAGTTTCTCTTGGCTTGTTTTGTATTTATAGTATGGTCAAAAGGAAGCAGGAGACGTCATTCATGTTCCACCTGGCTGGGATCAGTGGAATGCATTGGTAAGTCCCGTATGAAGTTTTTACACTTTTACATTGTTCAGATCATCAAACAGATATTAAGATCCAACAGAAAGCCAGAGTAAAGAGCTCTCCAAACCAGCCTGGCTCTGTGTGAAGAACTATTTACTCCCTGAACCTCAAACTGCTTGTGTTTTACTTGGCGGCAACAAATTCAGTATTTGCAACAACTGGCCACGAGTCAGGGGTTGTTCAGATAAAATACAGTTTCATGAGCTCAAAGTGACAAACTGCTAGTCTGACATTCTCCTTCAGGATTTTCAGGTAGAGATCTGAGTTCATGGACTGGTTGTCCAAGCAGCCCCAGACCATCATACTACCAACACCATGTTTGACTGTCAGAATAATGCAGTGTTGGTTTTTAATGCCAGGTTCCACTTTCGTGAAGTCGGTCCACAGAATGTTTCCCTAAAGTCTTGGGGGTCATCAAGACATTTTCTGACAAATTTGAGACAAGTCTTTGTGGTCTTGGAACAAAACCACAAGGGAAGCCATTTTTGTCCTTCATCTCTTTCTAATTATTGACTCATGACCTCTGACCTTTACTGAGGCAGGTGAGGATTGTGAAGCTCCAGATGATGTGGGTTCTTTTGGGGCCTCCTGGATGAAGCATTGATGTCTTCTTGGAATAATTTTGGTTGACCAGCTACTCTGGGACGGTTCACCGCTGTTCCATATTTTCTCCAGCAATGACTCAGGTGATTTGGTTCTACAGGTATGGGGTGCCATTTGTAAAGTTACACAGTCAAAAATTACCACCAATATTTTTGTTTTATTTAGCCTTTTATAAGAAAAAAAGAACAGATTTTTTTTCAAAGTCAGTTTTTCACCATATGATTCATACATTTATAAATGTCATAG